AATAACAATCTGATAAAATTCCAACCTGCCCTCACTGTTTCTGCAGCAGTGCCCCAGGCTTCTCTTCCTTAACCCTGCCTTATTAACACTTGCCCTGCCCTCATGCAACTTCTCAGGGGACCTAGAAAACTTTACCCCTGCAAACCATGTAATCACCTCTCCGTGCCATATTAAAACATAATTACACTTTTTTAATCTGCTATTCCATCCATTCTCCCACAACTATGGAGGAGTACTAACTAGTTTTATTACTAATTCCAGTGCTCTGTACATGCAAATAATGAGCAGCATCTCAGTTCCACTTACAAATCTTAGCAGACCTACTTATCTAAGCTCAGTGAGGGACTGACTGGTTGAATACTCACTTATCATTGTCAGCCAACTGACCTTGTCTTTGTACTTTACCCCATTTCTGTTTTACCCCCCTGGGATCTTACAAAAAATAAATAAATTAAACAGTAATCCAAAGCATTCTAGTAGATTATGCAATAAAATTGGTCAATATAAACCAAAAAAAGTTAGGACTCATAATCATCTTCTCACTGTCTTCCTCAGAGGAAAAGTATGTAAAACTTTCCCTCCAGCCTCTAAAGCTGAATTTCCTTTACTAAAGTAACATCTTTAGTAGAAAACTGCAAACACCCTATTTCATTAAAACAACCACTAAAAAGGTGGGTTTGCTGTCTTTTTTTTTCTTTTATTATTATCTCAAACTCCCCCAGTTTAACCCCCAAAGATATGGCCAGGAGGCTTTTTTTTCCCTATGTAATTATATATTCAGCTACTCTGTAATCTTCCTTTTCTAAAATTCGTCAACCTACTTCTGACACACAACACATCTCCTTACATAACCATAAACCTTACACAATTAGCATTCCACCTCATACTTTCTTTAAAGCTATGGTACCCCTCTAATTCCATTACCTATAGCCTGACTACAGGAAAAAACAAAAAAAGGAAAAAACAATAAACAAAAAAAAACAAAACAAAACAAAAAAACACCTAGAAAACATAAAGAGTTTTCAGAAATACCTTAAACAACTTCATATTTCATCATGACCAAAAATACCGGCAAAATCATAATTCCTACCTGAACCCTAACCTAAAGAAAACTCAAAACATGAAACTCTCTTGGCAGTCCTCCTGGTACTCTTAAAGTTACCATCTTCTGTAACTCACAACCACAGTGACACAAATCCAACCAGGCTTGATTTCCACGTGCTTGCTTTCTACCTCTTCAGTAGTCCAGCATGAAAAGCACTAAAATCTGCCACAATTTAACCATCCCACTGATTTACTTTGTTACGTGACTACCTTATTTTTAGAAATAGTTCCACCAGAGCAGACCCTGAGCTGTTGCTGAGTCCTCATTCAACAAACAGGCCTGAAATATAGTCCAGTATATTCCACCAAAAACCTTGCACCACCCAATGATTATGGTAATTCTAATTACCTTAATCTGAGGTAGACCTATGCCTACCACCAATGCCTAAGGTAATTCTACAGCCTAAATATCCAGTTGAAGGCTGACAAACCATTGAAATACAGAATATCAAACTCCACCTCATTTATCCCCAGGTGATACCAGCTGTTCCTCTGATCTACAGTAACACAACAAAGCCACCCATACAGACCAAATACTTCAGGAAAAAGCTTGGCACATCCTACTTTTCTCTTCTTCCTCATGTTTATCACTGACAAAGTGGCTGGGTCTGGGCCTTTTTTGTAACTTTCTCTGTACAATAAGACAACTGCTGCAACTCATGGTTGGATAATTAATTCTGAATTTTCACCTTAAGCCTGGGTGAAAAGCTCTCACATCATGATCTCTGTCTCCAGACTGAAATGCAGCTACTCTCTTAACACAAAATCCTTATTTCTGAAAATAAGTGCAATTATTATGAGTTACACTTAATTAAACATTGATTCTTGCATAATTTTAAACAGCATCTGTTTGGGGAGGGATTTGTTGGTGATGCATCTCATTTCCTTTGAAATTAAACCTCACTGAAATCTGATGTGTATTAACTATGTTAGGACATTTTTTTAAATGGCAGCTCTTTCTGTAGTACTGAAGGTTTCTTTTTTAAGGACTAAAAAATAATACATTACCACAAAGAATAGAAATCTATATTAGACAATGTCTTTTGTGTATTGATCTTCTTTGTTATAGATATCTCCTTTCTTACGTTTATCACCTCCCATACTTTTTTAAAATCAGCTCATAATTCATCAGTAACTGCACAGCCATTATGATAATGATTTAGCAATATATGTACGTACATACTACAAAAGTTTGCAAGAGAATTTTAAGAACAGTGAAAAGATTAATTTTGAGTACTGACAGGGACCCCATAGTCCAAAAAAAGAAATAGCTGATGGACAGGTAAATAGGTATCTGTAAAATCACAAAAGTTATTATTATTCTCTGTTACTCACTGTTCAAGGGGAGGGAAGGAATTAAATTATCAGGCAGTAACTTTTAAGCTGACAATAGAAAATACTGTTTCTCTATCATGTCTATACTTGACACAGCACATTGTGAAAGGCAAAAACATAAGAGTTCTAGAGGGTTTAGATAAATTCACAGAAAACAGGCAAAGGTCTATTAAATATGATGGTCCAGCAGTCTGCTGAGAAAATCCTTGACTAGGAGTATTTCTCAGCAACTTTCTGCTACTGACATTACTCCTCAGCCATCCTCTACTTTGCCAATACTCAGCTCCCAGTAGTCCTTAGACTTGTGATCTGACCCAGGATGGCACTTGGTTTATTAATATTTGAGTGTGACTTCAAGATAAATTGGCTGGTTTCTCACTAGAAATGCATCACAGCCCTGAGACATTTTGGGATACCTCCTGTTTATTAAACTGATTGTTTTCTTAAAAAGGAAACAAATAAATAAATAAATAAATAAATCAGAGCTTGTGTTTAAGATTTCCTCTATAAATGAATAATTAAGAATAAAGTGTACTTTGGAGACACTCTAAGTTTCTCTGAATCAGAACCATAAGCTATTCTGACTAAAGGGTAACCTCACAATTCAGTCCTGTTAGACAAGGGAAATTGTACAAGATAGTAAAAAGGAAAACAATGGGGGGAAAAAAGGCACCTCTGCTCCTAACATCAAACTGAAGTGCAGAAGAAAACATCTGTCCAACATATATTTTAAAATCAAATCTATGTGCTCTGAGAACACAAGCTCCTGAAACTTTCCCCAGAACGCCATTGCCCTTGTGTGGCAATACTACCAGATCTATAGACCTCAGCACTAATTTATTTACTCCAATTTAGAATTAATAAATCCTAGCAAAGAGGGTTTTTTTCATTTTTAAACTTGTTTGCAAGGCCCTGACACATGAACACAATCTTTCAGTTCCCATTTTTTGTGGGGGTGTTAGGCAGCCAAACCCAGATGGACTGGAGGCATCTAAAGCCATTTGTTTAGTAAACCAAAAGTTTGCTTTTATTATTTTCAAGTAATAAAGGAGCACCTGCTGATTTCTTGTTCTAAGCTAGTCAGACAGAAACCAGTACCACAGCTATAACACTGTCATCCTGATATTTATAATCCAGGCCGTCCAGGCTGCATGTTTATGCACAGCATTGCTGCTTTGGGCAGGGGATGCTGGTCCCAAGATGGGAATCTGAAAAGCAGTTTTATTTGAGGATGAGCAGCTCACAGTCCTGCCAGGGGTGCCAGGTTGTGTCTGGGCCCCGAACACGCAGCCCCTCACCCCAGTCATCACAGCAGTGTTCCCAAAACCTTGGACTGATCTCATCAGGGCAGCTAAAGGGCAAAACACCAGAACTACAGTATCATTCCTTAGAAAGGACTTAAAAGAGTCAGAAGAATACTTTGCACATGATTAATTGGATACCTAATGAGTGAAGGTTCAGGACCAGCTCACATGGCATTCACTTTGCCAATCCACTCCTGCTATTTATTGTTCCAGGTGCACTGCTGTTCTCCCAAATGGATTATTTTCCAGCCTACATAAATGGTCACACCATTTTTTAACCACCAGAATAACAAAAAAAGAGCACCTGATACCAATGTCAGTCTTCACTACCACATTTATTTTTACCCCACCCCCCATTCAGACCAACTAGGTGCCCACCATAGCTACCAGGAGTCTTGTCTTCATTTGTTATGAGCCCTGGGATTTATGCACTCAAAAGGACATAACCAGTATGTTGATGGGACCACAGGCCAGTGTGACTAAAAGTCTGTTATAATTTATGCCAAAAACCTGCAACATTTGCAAAGTAGCCACTGATGTAACCCGAGAATTTAACCTGCAGGTAAGCTTTACAAACAGTTTTAAATCCCTGCAGTGAGAAATATTAAACCTTCTGGAGGAAAATTACACCAAATTCTGTAGCATCTAACAGGAAGCAACACAGAACTAACACATAGGCACCAAAGAGCAGATTTCTCTGCCCTGACCCACCAGTGCAAGAGAGGATTTTTAGGTAAGCTACTTTGGGCTAAGTGTGCTATTAATTTAAAGTGCAAGGTAACCCAAACAAAAGTATGCATTTTATCTTTGTTTACTTCCCACAACAATCTAGTGCTGCCAAATACAGTCAGCTGATAGATTTTGTCAGAGCACAAACTCTTACTCTGTAAGTGGACAGCAAAAGATACATGGATCTGTGGGGAAGTATTTGCATGGGGCAGAACTCTGCAACTGATCCTGCAAAACTGAAGCATGCACTGTTTTTATGGGCATGAGTAACTGGACTAAAATTTCTGTGCTTAATTTTCCATAGAGTTAAAAACATGAACAAATATTTTTAGAATCAGAGTCTTGGTGGTGAAGAGTGTGCTATGTTTTACTCTGGAGGAACACGTTAAGCACTTGTTCTGTGTTACTCTTCAGTTACTACAAGAAATGTTTGTGAAGGCAGAATACAACATAGAGGCAAAAAACATCAGCTTTGTGCCCAGATGAAAACTCCAAATTCTCTGCCCACCAGTAGGTTCTTATACTTACCAATATTGCAATACTTCCCTGCATAATTTTCTTTGCAATCACACACTATTTCCCCACTGTGGGCAACCATTTTACATTCTCCACCATTCATGCAAGGATCATGAGTGCAACCTACAAGTAGAAACCAAAGATCAAACCAAAGGTACAACCTATTCAAGAGAATCAGCCCATTTAAAGTTCCTGTAGTATACCTTCTCCATATATCTACATTTTGGGGAAGTTTTGCCTTCTTTACTCATCTCAGACCTGCACTTGACATAAACTGAAGACAAAGAAATTGTGTGGATTTCATCTTACTGACGTCTGTCTCATTTTTTTTTACTGTTATTCAATAATGTCAGCCCAGCTTTTGAAGAAATATTACCAATCTACAATTGGTAAAAGAGGGGATGGTGATTACTATTACTAGTGGTGACAGTGGTGGCATTAGCATTTATTTCTGTACAGAAGGTTCTGCCAATTTCAAGTTTGCCACTGAGCTGCATTAAAATTTAAGATAGTATATCTAGCAGAGGTCAGTTAAACATTTAGGATCTGTGACTGGGAAGGATTAAATCCTATTGAATTTCCCTTCTCTTCCATGGACTCCCAATGTCCTAGAAAGCCACTGACTCCATGCTTTAGTTTCCAGCTTTGTAATGTGGGAATAAAAACACCTACTTGTTCCATAGGGCTCTTATACTCAGTACTGTAAGTTATTTGGGACTCAGGGCAGGGTAGAAGTCAGCCAGACTGAATAACAGAAGGGCCCTACCAGAGTACACAGTACCAGTGAGAAACATGGGTCACTTCTCATCATCTCGCCTTCCAAGAGAAAGGTCCTGTGCTTGCTTGGCCAGCCATGTCAAGCACCTGGGACCCTCAAAACAAGAAGGCTTCAAAAGTATAATCCCCCTGGCCAGGAATGGGTAAGTTAGGCAAAAAATTCTGGACACTCTGGGGTCAATGCAGGGCAAACAGGATCCTGGAGGCGGGTACAGTTTACATACTAGCAACTCAAGAGTGGGGTAGGCTTGGGAAGAAATCTCAGATGTGGAAGAGCAATACAAGGTAGGTGTGCAGGGGAAGAGTAGAGGAGGGTGTGCCTCTCTAGCATGTTATAGTTTTGGAAGAGAGCCCATAAGATCTGCATTTTTACCACTTCTATAAAATCTCTTGCATATTCTTACATGCTGCAGTTCAGGCTTGAATCTCTGGTGAAGAAAGCACTGATCTGTGCCCCTAAAATTCAGCTTAATGTATATAATTTCTTCCACAAAAAAAGGGTGGACACCTAGAAGTGTGGATTGCTGCTCATACATGGAAAGGCAAGGGGAAGGTATGTGAGCTGTGAGAGCAGCATCACTGTGTGTAACAGCTCCCAGGCTTTGATCCTGCCCTTGATCCCCGCTCCCTGCAGGCCCATAGCTGTAACACAAACAGCATCTTACGTCTGTGCTCAACATGCTTGCACTCGATCTGGCCGTTCACACACTTGCACTCCTCCACAGCTCCTTGTTGGACTCTTGGCCAGCTCATGTCCACATCAAAGAACTGGTAGAGACTGTTGTCAAAACATTTCTCTGAAAGAGAAAAAACAAGAGAAGCTTTCTAAGGTTGTTTCTTGTGAGGAATGGGAGCACAGTCTCCATCACTGCCTGCTCATCTCTTTTTTCCCATTGAGCAGATGTTTGTTGACACTTGGTGCTTCTCAAGCAAGTCAGCCTCTGCAGTGTGGAGGCACTAAGCCACTGCAGCAGCAGCTTTGAGGATCTCAAGGTAGAGATGGCTTTCTCCAATAGCCCTGAGAGCATGACAGAATCACCACTACTTAAGCCCTTCCAAACATTCATTCAGCAAACACGAAAAACAAAATTGGTGGTGTGTACTTGTGTCTGTCCCACTTCAGAGCATCATGCACAGATGATGGGCTGTGCTAGAGAGAGTGGAGCCCCAGGACTGAAAGGGCTTCCTTACTTAAGCTGGGAGAGAAGTCTAGAACTGCAGGGAAAAGCAGGAACTGAAAACCTTCGGTGTTTAAGCCAAATTCCTTGCCTGGCTTGCAGTAAATAGAGAGTGAGACCACCACAAAACTGGAAAAATAACCCAGGCAAAGCCTTCTGGCCTGTAGTCTTTTAGAAATTACTTCCCTGAAGGTGGGGTAGCTGCCCAGGTGAAAAGCTGGCATCACAGGAAGAACTGTGATGGGCCCACGTGTGCATATACATAAGGGATAAAGCATCACCTGAAAGTCTGTTGTTTTCTCATGTTTCCCCACCCTACCTACTGGATGATACTATTAGTCATTTCCAACCATGTAAGTGACATTTAAATCTTAACAGCAAAGGGAGGTGAAAAGGTTCTTTTTGTTTCCCATAGCTTAATACTTCACTGGCTCAGAGCATGCTTGGATTTATAATTACAATCAAGCTATTTTCAGCTGTCCTGTCAGTAAAGGATTGTCTGTCATAACCATTTGGAAATCTGCCTACACAAACATTCATGCTGCAGTGGTCTCTCCCATTACAACAGCACTACCTTTTCATTAAGCAAACATTAAGGAGCTCTACTTACTGCTGATGTTTCATGTTGCAACACTCCTGGAAGAAGTTGCTTACCTATCTGACAGTCCTTGCCAGTGAATTCCTCGGGACAGGTACAGTGGTACTTCCTATGTCCATGGGCCAGAGAACAGGTCCCTCCATTTTGGCAAGGGTTGTTTGCACAGTGATCTAGACAGACCACATCAGAAACTGTTGTTAATAGGTGCCAGATAAGCTGTGTTTTGTTGTGTTACACTTCATCTTGGTTCCATGAACCATTTTGGTTCAGTGCACAGTGGTTTCAATAACACCTATTAATCTAAAACCAGTGTTTATCCAAGCATTTTACATTGGCTTTGTTTCCAGCTGTGTAGCACCTACATTTATCCAGCTTTTAAAAACCACCTAGTAAATCACAGAGCCGAACCTTCTTCCCCAGAGCGACTTGTCCAAATGTGGTAGGTCCTGGCACCCCTGTAGCTGCAGGAGCTGCTGGAGTGGTGGGGCAGAAGGTGGAATAAATGCCCACGAGATGGAGCTGTGCCTTTGCACAGGGGAGGGCAGGGAAGGCTACAGCTCTGCCTGGACGAGCTCTTTAGACAGCAGCTCTTTCAAGTACACAAAGGGCAACCCGCGGCAGAAGCATTTGCTACGGATTTTTGGATTTTTGTCTAAAACGAAAGGACGTTTGGAACAAAGGAAAAAAGAATATGAAAGCAAAACAAGGGCACCTCCAGGTAAATCAGGACAAGCAAGGTTAAATTGGACTAGTCTAATGTATGTCTGATTTTAAGGAATTTCTAAATCATGGGAAAATAGGGTGGGAGAAGAGCATGTGTGCCAGGACAACTTTTCATCCCTGCAATGGAAGCTTTACTTGGTACCAGGCAATGCAAAAGGTATAGAAGTCTTGCTGGCCAGCCGTTGTTCCTGATTTCAGGCAGTGTCAAGGGGTTTATCTCCCCTGAAGTCAACGAAAATCACCTTTAACACCCACTGCAGAGCTGGCCCAACAACCTGACCACATTCTCTTTCTCATGCCAGTCAAACTCTGTGAGGGCAACTGCAGAGCTACTCCATTCAGGTGCTCCTTCAGCTAGACTGTGTGGTCCTAAACATGGGATGCTACATAATGATGAAACAAGCACACACACAAGGCTGAAGCAAAGCATGAAAAAGGCACATCTGGAGCTTTGCTACAGCAATGTAAATGTGAGGGTTCCCCCGCACAGATCAAAATATTTACTTCAGAACAGAGTGGTGTAATTGGTATCAGATAGCAGGCTTGGGTGGATTCACTGGTAGTTTCACTCCAGGATAACATCAAGGGAAATCAAGTAAAGGCAGTGACGTTCCTACTTTCCTGCCATTTGATAGTTATGAAACTTTCAGTGATGTAATGTTTCCTCAAAGGGAAATCATGTATTTCCTATTCCCATACAATCCAAACCATGACTTGATCTCCAGGACATCTTCTGGTACATCGGAGCTAGCGTAGTTTTTTGTACCCTCATTACATCTGCAAAGAGCACTTGCAGTCCTCCATTTCTCCCCCAGACAGGGTCCCTCACTGTATTCCACCCAGCAATCCAGCCTGACTTCCCTGGGGTATTCTGCATCCATCCCACTTTTCATGAAGTTCAGGAACAACTTATAAGCACATGCACACATCAGTTCCCTGCAGGGAATCCATTAATTACTCATTAACTGGGGAGTGCCCAGTCCCTGCTATCTCAGCCAATGTGTAAAGCCACCCAGCAGTATCTCAGCACCCTCACGGGTAAAACACTCCCTATTTGCTAGCAATCATCTTGACCTCAGCTTCACCTCTCTGAAGCAGATGAGCAGTAGCCTTGTCTCCCCTTTCTCACCATATTTTCCCACAAAAAAATTCTGTTTCTGCCACCTTTCCCAGAACCAGTGCTGCTCTTCCCCAGAGCTCCCCCTGGGATGATGCCTCTTCCTCCTGCCGGTGCAGCCCACGCTGCTCTACTTCTTCTTTCCATATCAGTCCAAAAATCTCTTAAAAAAAAAAGCGCACAGTCTCGCACTTTACTCCCAAGACTGGGTCTCCCTGAGGTTTTGGCCATTTGTCCAAGATTCCCAGACATTCAGAGCAGTACAGATGGCCCAGGATCTGGAAGACCCACACATAGAGGCATTGCACTTCTATACGTCTTTGTCTGTAATCACAGCCCACTTGGCCCCTGTGTATGAAGGGGTCACATCAGGCAGATACCACACATGTTCTCCATGGAGATCTCCTGGGAAGGAGAGGAGGATCCTCTGGAAACCTAAAGGCAATGATAAAGCTCGCACTGCTTTCGGGGAGAGTTGAACAAGTTTCCTGGTGTTAAGGTGAGCTCTGGCTCTGTACTCTGCAGTGCTCCCTCCAGCAGAGCTTTCATACCTGAGCTTCATTTCATCCTGAAGCTAAACACTGTTTGGTTAATCTCTCTGTAGAAGTTGGCAGATGTACTTTTCTGGATCAACTCCTCCAGCACTTGCTTAACACTAACTTGTTATCAGCTCCAATGGTTTCAAGTTGACTGCCTGTGTGCACATGGTATTCTTGGCCTGGAGAGAGTTTGTGTTTCAGCCTTTACTTTCAAGCAGCTCCTTCCTCATCCCAGTTCACACACTCCTTACGAGTCTCTGATGGCCAAAGAATACCCTCCCCCACCCCCAGACATCATTCTTTTATCTTTTTTCAAGTGTCTATAAAATGATTGAGAGGTTTTTTTAAGATGTAATATTTTAGTGGATTTTTTCACAACAAAATAATATATTTTCCACATGTATTTTAATGTATTTTAAAAATCAGCATTACTTAGTTTGACTGCTTCTCTTTTCCCAGCTCTCTTCCCCAGCAGGTGAACTCTCCTCCCATTTGCTTGACATTCCCTTCAGCCATTATGCCATCATGCCACTCCTTACTTTCAACTTCACCAGAACCCTTTTCTCTTTAAGCTATGGCTGGTGATCTGTTGAAAATTTTCTAAGCCCAAACATAAAACTTGCAGCTTAAAAAATAAACAACAACAACTTACATTTATAAATAAATGAACAGCTAAAACATGTGAGTTTAAATTTACAAAAAGTCTAAATGCTTTCAGAAAGACTCATTTCTTTGTAACAGCCAGCAGTGATCTCCTCCACCTACCCCATCCTTTCTTCTGTTTCCTTTCCTCTCACACATATAACTCTTTTCTGGAGGAAAAATGAACAGCTGGGGCAAGCCCACACTGGTACTAGGGAAAACTGATGGTGATATCTCCCAGGGAGGGGCAGGCAGTCAGGGTGGCTTTCTTGTTGCAAACCACCCTACCCAATGCTGCAGTGGGTGACAGACAAAAACGAGCCCGAAAGCCCAAAAAGGCTTGTGGGCACCCATCTGACTGCAGAGAAGGCTCCCAGCATGTGGGGCTGGCAGGACCAGGGCAGTGGGCTGAAGATGGGATCAAAGTGGCACAAGGCACCTCCAGAAATTCAATGCTGGGCTTGGAGACCTCCTTCTTCAGCTACTGGAAAAGCCTCCTTGGGTCAGCCAGCCACCACCAGGACAGTCAGTGTTTCAATGGAGGATCCAAGCAGCCCTGAGTTACTGTTTCAAACATCTTCAGCACTGGGAGGGCACTCATGCATAAGTGCAGCCCTCATAACCTTCCTCTTGTGAGCATGAACAGTCTATAAAGTCTACATTCATGTCTGACACACTTGCATTACAAAGGCACATGCACTGCTGCTTGTTTTGGGGTTAGGTAATTTCTCTCTGATCTACTGTTAATCTGCTTTAAAGCCAGGTTGGAAAACAATTTTAAGTTGTTACGTTTAAATTGATGATGCTGTGCACTGCTTAATTTTAGATTCTCAGCATGATTCAGCTAACATTGGCCTTTCAAGAGCTCTGGTAGATTGTAATCAGCTTGGCAACGAGTCTCCTGACATTTCCTGACAGAAAACTCCTCACAAGGGACTGGTGGAAAATACCCTTTGTTGGAGAGCGAGAAGCAAACATTTAAGGGTATCTGGTCATATCCCACAGACTGAGTAAGACAGGTCACATTTGAAGGCAGCACAAAGGAGAAAAGAGGATCTTGACCAGCATTTAGACACGAATCTCAGGAGCATCAAGTCCCTGTGCAACAACAGATTTTCAGTGCTGGCCTGTTACTGCATACATTGAGAATTAATTATACTTCCTTATAAAATAATATTCCCCAGCATCTAGCTCATGAAACATCAAACTGGGGAGACCACAACAAGCAAAGGCCAGCCACTGAGCTGCTGAGGACACAGATGCATGTTCCCCACTGAACTGCTTGGGGCATGATGCTTTGACACAGTGTATCAATCAAAATGACTTATATAGAAAGGAGAGTTTGCTGCAGACCTTGGCTTCTCGTTTTAGAAAGATTTTTGCAAGGAGGTAACTGTAGCACCGGAGTGTGGTGACCGCATGAAGCCACAGCACTGCTCAGCTGAGTCACGATTCGGTTGTCCCTCAGGACTCCTGCAGTGAATGCATCTGTCCTCTTGTCTTCTCTGACACTGCCCAAACCCAAGGAAATTTGGATTCGAAGGTCTGCTCTTTATCCTGGGACCTCAAGGAAGGACAGTTGGAAGTGATGGCTGTGTTCTACAACATGTGAAATGTTTCTGTACCATCTAAAAAATTAACTGGTCGAACAGGCAGAAAATGCAGCTGATGAAATAAGAAGAAAGCTAAAAGGAACATCCAAGCTGTGAGGGAGGAGAAGACAATCATCTCTGTGCTCCAGCAGGAGTTAAGATTGCTGTGTTGGCGTTACCATAATTTCTTTCCATGATTTCAAGTTAGTCAACAGACAGTGAATTAAAGACTGTGTGATATTCACAGTCCAATGCTATGGTTATGCAGTCACAGAGAGATCCTGGAAGCAGCTAACTCAAAGGCTTGTTTTGCATACACCAAATAAAAGTGTCACTGGAGTCACCTCCCTCCTTACTGCAGGTGGCAAAGGAGGAGCCAGGTATTTGGAGCAACTCAGCAATGGCTACCTTACCTGAGTGGTCTTTGGGCACCGAAGCACAGTGTCCCCACTTCCTGTCCCGGTCATAGTTATGTGTTGTAGAACACCTGAGAAGAATTAAAGGTGCATTTTATTGTAGCTGTAAACAACCCACTGAAATTATATGGATTTCATTCTTTGGCAACCTGGAAATTTTTATTATTTTTTTTTCTTAATTAGCATCTGTTACATTTAAAATCTCAAGAGGAAATTTTTGTTCATCTGTGTTTTTGTTAAAGATGCTCTACCCCATTTCTCTCAAACAAAATACAGATTAAGAATGAGATGTGGAAGCAGGACCTGAGATCTCCAGCAATTCCTCCAGAAAAAACAAACCTTTCTTTTTTTAAGATTAGAAAACAAAAGGCAGAAATAAAAACCAAAACCAAAGCAAATAAATTATGTCTTTATTCTTTACCAAACAAGCGAAACAAGACCAAATCCATTTTTTGTACATGTCAGTTACTTTAATAATCTGTGGAGACAGGAGACTGTCCACAGAGGGACTTTTTCCTGGCTTTCAGTGGCAAACATATTTTACACTCAGTTCCCTTAAAGTATTTCTATTTTTTAACTTGCCAGACAAAATGAGGAAATAACAGAGAGTGGGGGGGATTTCCAAATGCACGGATAAAACCTCTCTTTTTGCAGAGCAGTGGGTTGAATCCTGCACCCCACGGGAGTCCTACCAAGACAGACTTTGACAACTCCTTTATCCACACACGTTCCTTGCCCTCACCAGTCTGTTATCTCCAAGGCTCACAGCACTCCAAGGAGCATTAAGCAGCTCCTCTCCATTTGCAGAGATAGATTTACAGGCTTCCGCACAGGGGGGTGTGACTGAACCAAGGCTGAGCCTTGGAGGTCTACGAAAAACATCCTCCCTAACCAGTTCTAATTCTGCACAGTAAATATCAGCTGCCACTGCACTGGAAAGCTACACAGCATTGGAAGAAATAAAAGCTTGCTTAATTTAACATGCCTGATAATCTATTTTTATTGTGTGTGTTTTTATCACACCTTGAACAGCCTTGTAATCAAATATTTTTTCACCCTAACATGTCACAAGTTAGCTAGATAAGAATGTTATTGTACAGCACATCAACCATTTTCACTGCCCTACTTTGCTTCATAATTAGATGCTTCGTGGTATTTAAAATGCTTTCATTCCTATGGAGCATCTGAATTGGTCACACATATTAAGTCTAGTGACCTCAATTATATAAAGTGCACAAAAAGAAAGGTGCTTGGTAATCTACTGCAGATTAACTTGACACATTCCTAAAGAGGCTGTTTTCTCACAGACATTAAGGCCCATGTGACACTGCTGGGAGTTCAGAGAAATTCCTCTGTGCTCCTTCACTGGGAAGGGGTTCATGCTTTTTTAAAGGATGCACTATTATGCATGAGGATTAAGGTAAGGAGTAAGTTAAAGTGGTTCTCATAGAATCATAGAATGCCAGGCTGGAAGGAACCTCAAGGATCATCTGGTCCAACCTTTCTAGGTACTACTATAGTTTATGTGAGATGGCTCAGCACCTTGTCAAACTGAGACTTAAAACTGTCCAATTTGGGGGAATCCACCACTTCTATTCCAATGTTTGACTGTCCTTACCGTGAAAAGTTAACCTCTTGTGTCCAATTGGAATCTTCCCAGGAGCAACTTGTGCTCATTACCCCTTGTCTTTTCCATGTGACTCCTTCTAAATAGGGAGTCTCCATCTTCTCAGTAGCCACCCGTTAATACTGAGACATGGCAATGAAGTCTCCCTAAAGCCGTTAATTCTGAGGCTGAGCAAACCAGTCAGCCTCTCCTCATATAGCAGGTCCTCCAGTCCTCTGATCATCTTTGTGGCCCTTCTCTGGACCCTCTTCAGCCTGTCCACATCCTTTTTGCAGAGCTGGGACCAAAACTGAATGCAATACTCCAGGTATGGTCTAACAAGCACCAAGTAGAGCAGGATGATGACTTCTTTATCTCTGCTGGTGATGCCCCTGTTGATGCAGCCCAGCATCCTGGTGGCTTTCTTTGCTGCTGCAGCACACTGTTCACTCATGTTGAGCCTGTTATCTAGCAAGACTCCCAGGTCCCTCTCCACAGGGCTTCACTCCAGCCAGGTGGATCCCAGTCTGAACTGTGCTCTGGGGTTACATGTTCCCAGGTGCAAGACCTTACACTTCTCCCCATTTAACTTGATATGGCTCCTCCTAACCCACTCCTTCAGTCTGTCTAGGTCATCCTGGAGGGTGGCTCTTCCCTCTGGACTGTCAACATTTCCACTCGTCTTGGTATCGTCAGCAAATTTCATCAGGGTGTTTTGATTCCAACGTCCAGGTCACTTATGAAGATGTTAAACAGCACTGGGCCTGGTATCGATCCCTGGAGGACCCCACTAGTGACTGGTGGCCAGTTTGAGGAGGAACTATTTACTATCACTCTCTGGCTACAGTCTGGCAGCCAGTTCCCCACCCACTGCACAGACCACTTGTCAAGGCCATAATAAGTCAGTTTCTCCATATCAGAAGTCTTGGAGAAGTCCAGGTAGACAATGTCCACTGCTCGCCCTGCATCAAGCAAGCAGGTGACTTTGTGCTAGAAGGTGATCAGGTTTGTCAAGCATGATTTGCCCCTGGTAAATCCATGTTGGCTTTTTCCAGTCATGTGCTTCAATTGACTTGTGACAGTCCCCAGGAGGATTAGCTTCATGACTTCCAGGGAGGGTAATGTGTCTGTAATTACCTGGGTCCCCTCCTTTGAACCCTTCTTATAGATGGGGGTGACACTGGCCTTCCTTCAGTCCTCAGGGACATCTCCCAGTCTCCACAACTTCTTAAAGATTATGGAGGGTGGCTTTGCAATGACATCAGCAGCTCTCTCAGCACCCTAAGGTGGATGGCATCCAGGCCCATCAATTTGTACAGGTCAAGCTCCTGTTGTAGTTGACACACCAACTCTTCTTTCACTGACAGCAGGTTGGTGTCTGCATCAACCTGGACTTTTGTTCCTATGGCCTGGGACCCAACAGCACTGGTAAAGACAGAGGTGAAGAAGGTGTGGAAGGTGTTGAGGACCTCTGCTTTTTCAACATTGTGACTAGTTCACCTCTCCTGTTAATAGTGGGCCAATATTACTCCTCTGTTGCTGCTAGTTGTTAATGCATCTGAAGAACCTTTTACTGAAGTTTTTGATATCTCCAGCCAATGTCAGCTCAAGCTGAGCTTTTGCTTTCCTAACTGCATCTCTGCATACCCTGGCAATACCCTTGTAATTTCCATCCAGTAATGTTCCACTTTTCCATCTCTGGTACATTTCCCTTTTGGTTCTGAGCAGACCCAGAAGCTCACAGTTAAGCCAAGGGGGCCTCTTGCTCAGCCTACTTCCCTTGTCTTTAGAGGGAATGAACCAGTTTCTCAGTGGTGCCCTGCTAGTGTCAGCAAAACCCTCCCAGTCTAAACACCTTCTCAGTGCCAGCCATGAAGAGGAAGGAGAATCCAAACTTTTTTGACTGAACTAATTGATTTAGCAGAGCAACATCACACAGAGCAGCATGGGGAAGGCAAGTGGAAAATGCCCTGTATAGTTCTAAAGAATTCAAGCAAACTCACATCATTTGGAGGGAAAAACAATTTATATGCAAATTAATACTCTCTGGAGTCTGTCCAGTAGCAGTCAAATTCTAAGCAAATGGAGAATTCAGGTTTTCCCTTCTGAAAAGTTTTTTGTTACCAGAGAGCCTGACAGAGGCTTCTTCCATCAGTTTTAATCAACCTGCTCATTCTCCTACCTCTTTACAACCAGTCCCCTCCTTCTCTATCACTTCACAGTGATTACAGAGAGGATGGTCCTCCACAGGGATCCTGGGCTGGCTCCTCAGTGCCAAGCTTCATTCACATAATCCTTTCATATTTTCTGGCACACATTCTCACTTTTTGGGAGAAGATCATAGAATCCTCAAAGCTACTTCATTACTTTCTGTCCTTTTCTTTTTAAATCTCTTCTTTGCTGGGAGGCTTACAAAAAATGTGATGACATTTTGATCTCATGAGATGTCACCTCCAGCAGCCACACCAATCAAATGGTCCTACTATCTCTTTGTACTGCTTGTAAATGGGCCTACTCCCTACACTGATTAGATAACAAATGTCTTTATATCAGCCTGTCACATAAAATTGTCAATAAAAAAAAATGAAAATTTAAAGGCATGAATACTGAATTAGCTACACCAGAAAAGTCTGTCATCATGCCTGGAGCTGTCACCATGTTTGAGAACTGGAAGTCCCCTCAGACCTTTTCAGGTCTCCTGAGCATGAGAGATGGCCAGACAACACCAGAGTGACCACTACCAACACCAGCAAAATCCAGAGCTGATGCTTGGTGTCTCCTGGCTCACCTCTACATGTTTTCCTTTCCAGGACTGCCAAAAACTCTCTAGTTTGCAGTCTAGCTGGCCAAAAATCTCTCTTCTGCATTGTTTTCAGTCTGTGGTGAAAGTATCAAATATTCATGTTTCCAGAGAAGATGGTAAGATCATGCTCTTCCTACCCAGACCCAAGCCCACCCTTTCAACCTGGCACAACAGGGACCTACACATCCAGCACTCAAGCACAGGCTAACACTTCTACAGAATATGAGCCAACACCTTACAATTCACAGCCGAAATCAGAGCCCAAATCTTCTCCCACTATGCTCCTTGAGCAGGATCTCAAGGGAGCCATCTCACCATGGGATGGAGGGACAGGGTGCTGGCAGCATTCC